AAATTAATACAGGAAACTCGTTTGCATTATTAAATTTGCAAATATAACCTAGAAATTGGAGCATTGTCATTGTATATCATTGTCGTTACTTGTATCGAAACGTCAGATGACGTCCGAGTGTCAAAAATAATAAGAGTCAGTCGTTCGTTGTACAGCAATAAAGACAGTCGGGGTTTTTTACGAAACCTTTTTCCCCGACTTAAAACAACAAAAATAAGCGAGTATTCATTTCATATTATACATTACTCCTGAATTGCAAAATCATAAATTCAAGAAATTTCCAACAATTCCATAATACTTTCAAGTAAATTTATCATATCGCATTTGAAAATCGTGGACATTAGAAGAAAAAAAACCTCTTTCGAAGCCACTTGTTGAACACAGCGTTATTATTAATCGCTTTGTTTGTATACTGGTGGTTTGTACGTAGTTAACGTACTTAAATACGTCAAGCAGTCGAACACAGACCAAATATAAACTGTTCATTGAATTTCAATAGTGGATTCATCATAGGATGATTAATGTTTTATTGTCTGATTTGTGTCACAAATATAATATATGAATCGAATTTTCATGTATTTTACAATTCACTATTCCAATAAAAATGAAAAATTATAAATTATAAATTAAAATGATGTGAAAATATAATGATTATCAATCTTCATACATAGCGTTTATGGACTACTTAATATTCGATATACTCTATGGAATCCAGATAACAGGCGTGTAATAGCGTCGTAGTTCAACCAATGCACTCCTTTGAATAATCATAGTTACATTGCGATGGAAAATGTTCGATTACGTGACTTTCATTTCGGATCCGCATATTTGAAATTTGACCTGATATAAAAATGAATACATATGTATGTTTCATCAGATTTTTTTCCCAACTGGCTTAACATTCTTTGTTTCTACAAGTTTCAATGTTTTCATTGCAATACATGTTTTTGTCAATGTATAATCTAGTCAAGCAAATGAATAAACATTAATAAATGTTGAACGAATTATGTCGACTTTGCCTTTCCAACATACCCCTAAATCACAATTTTATCAATAGCTCTTCAACAACAACAATATTTTCCGTTTGAAAATCAACATTTGTTAACAATACATTGTTGTTCATTGAAATTCAATTAAAAAGGAATAGTAAACAAATTAATATTTTAGCAATTTTTTCCCTTTACCTATTCCAAATTTCCATGGAATTATTTTATGGATTGAATATGATTTCCAATTTTCATTAATCCACACTTTAACATTCAATCAAATTAAAACTAATACAAACTCGTTTCACGTGTATGCTTTCCCCCCACTCATTTTAAGGTTAATTAAAATATAATTAATTACCCTATTACTGAACAAAGAGTTCTTTTGCGATATTGTTGGAGCGGTAAGTGATGCGCAAGCTCATTGCCGGCCATATAGGTCGACATCGCTGTGTCTAATTAATTTCAGCCTTTCGACTCTAACCCCAGCCTCGAGGACTATTGACGGCGCGCCCCCACCCCTCCTTGCGGAAGCCAGGGGCCTTATATGTAAAACTATCCATACCGCATATCTATTCGTGAGACGTAAAAGAATGTTTGTTTTTTTGTCGATTTATATTTTTGAAAAGGAAAGTATGTTTTCTGTTGATTCTATCTGCGTTAAAAGGAAGTATGTTGGCATCCCGTCTAGCCTCCGCAGTTTTTCACGGTTTCCGCGGAACTGATAAGAGATAACAACTTGGTGTCTTCGGCGAAGTTGTAGTACACAAGTCTTCTATAACATTACTGAAGACATCTATCTCCTATCTCCTAGCTCTTATCAGTTGCGCGCAAATCGCGCACATAAAAAAGCAAATTTTATAAAGAACTTTTTTTTTCTTATTATTTTTCGCGCTTTTCGCGTAACTGATAAGAGATAAGAAATAACTAACTTCAGCAATGTTATAGGAGACCTCGAGTGCTACAACTTTGCCGAAGACACCAAGTTGTTATCTCTTATCAGTTCCGCGGAAACCGTGAAAAACCGCGAGGACCCGCTAAAAACGAACATACATTCTTTTAACCATTATTAGTTGCAATGAAACATACTTCTCTTTATTGCTGCGAAGTTGGACCAACTTGCGTTCTTTTACGTCTCACTAATAGATATATACTATTTTATATAAATTCGTGGTTTAGCGAACTATAAGCATCGAGGGGCAGATCACTCAAAATAGTAATTGCAAAATTTAGCAGTAATTGCACGAGAAAAAAGTAATTGCATAGGTAATTGCTACGAAAAAAGTAGTTGCAAAAGTAATTGTTGATCAGCAATTACTACATTTTTCTTGCAATTACCAATGCAATTACTTCTTTTTAATGCAATTACTTTTGAGTGATCTGCCCCTCGATAAGCATGGTTACCAAAATGAAAAACAGTCGAGACACACACAGTATACAAGCTGTATACACACAAACAAATGGTTGAGTGTGCGTCTTGACTGCTATTCGGTTTGTGTTTATGCTCATCGGGTTAGTCGGCAGAGCTGGAACAAACATTTTGTGTGTGCGCGCACGTAACTAAGAACGCACACATAGTAGATGTGCGGCGCAAACAGCGCTTGTATTTTTGGTGTGCGTGCACATTTACATAGATCCGCCAAAATTTGACAGTAGAACCGAAATCTATGTAAATGTGCACGCACACCAAAAATACAAGCGCTGTGTGCGCCGCACATCTACTGTGAGTGCGTTCTTAGTTACGTGCGCGCACACACAGAGTGTTTTTTCCAGCTCTGTTAGTCGGTTGTTGGTGACATATTGAAATTCTCTAATAAAACGGCATTGAATCCTGGGAAATTCGATAAGTTCAAATATCATGTCAATAAATCGTATCGTCAGCTGTAAACAAAAGCTGTTTGTTCGCGCGACACTTGTAAATCAATTTCACGTCAATTATAAAATATTCCATGGAATATGCATATATATCAAATTCAATGTGAATTTAATTGGATATTATCTAAATATGCAAATGCAAATGCTGGCAACAATGAGCTGGCTCGACAGGAATATCGAACAGCTAACAATCGGTTGCTGTGCCACTAATATCCAATACATGGACAAATTGTTTTTTGAGCATTGTGTAACACCATCGGAAATAAATCTAATTGAATGTTGGTTGTTTGTGTACGAACTAAAATCGATTTGCATAAAATCTCAATCGCGAATCGTGGCGAAAAATCGTGCTAATATTCAATCAATTTGGTCTTGCATATTGGTGGACACAACACAGCCATTACCCCGTAATTGCATATATATAATTCAAATACATAGAAACACAAATGCAAATACAACGTAAATGTTAGAGGCAAATCGCTTTGCAGTGTTTTCGAAATTTAATCGGGTTCAAATGGTCGGGCGGGTTAATTTGATTTAAGAATTCGCAATTCGGTTATTTTAGTTTCCAAAATTAAACAGGCTCTTGCCGCGCGACGCATTACTATCGTCATAATCGAACAGTTACCGCGCCGTTAATGCCGTTGCAAAAGGAATAAGCCAATGGACCGCATGCAACATACGTGCATTACACTTGAACCACTTTCATTTATTGTTATTTGCAGTTAAATTGTCCGTAATCATTGGCTATTTATTGTTGTTGTTGCACAGACGATGCTCTCACATTTATTAAAATTATTTCGTTTTCGTGCATTCGAATGAGTTTGTGCTATTTTCATGTGCGCGTTAAATTCTAGATAAATGTGTGCGGTCGCAACGGAGACGTTTCGGTCTCCGAAAAATAGCCGAATAGACATATTGGATGGATTTGATGCGCCTTGGTTTCACCATTTGTAGTGCGGTGTGTGTGGTGCATTTCTCTGGTGTTGTAATACTAACACATTCCAGACATTTTTCTCTTCATCATTTAGCACAAGATAGGGGCGGCTTGCAAGGACGTTCCTTTTGTTCACATTTCAGCTATTCAAATCAGTTAGAATCAGTTGAACAGAAAATTCGTTAATGACATTCAACCATTTGCCATGCACATTCAGTTGAGATTGAGGCATTGAGTGTAATCGCCTGTAATAAACGCGCTTTTTCTCGCATGAATGCAGACATTCAGTATGGACGCACAATGACACTGAGCAATAAGCATAGGGCAATTGTTATTGTGTTTGTTAATATAGAACTTTTTGCCATTTTACAGCAGAATTTTTTCCATTGATTTAATTAAAAACTAGAACGTACTCAAAACAAATCGATATTACGATTAAAAAATGAACAACAAATGTTTCAATGGACATTGCTAATATTTGTTGACCTGCCTACCAGTCACTAGAATATGCGCTAAAAATTAGGGCAAGGCACTGAATCGATATTGATATGTGTTCAGTTTTGTATGTTTATCAAAGTGCACTGAATAGAAAGCAGTTGAAAATAAACAAGTCAATTAAAGGATAAGTATTTTATTGATCTGTCATTAAAAGAATAGAATGCATATTCCTAACACCAATTTCAGGTAAATAGAAATGATTCCGAAATCACCTGCGCTTCAGTCATTGTGTTTTCACTGAACAGGCCACAGGTGTCAATATGAAAACGGTGCACGATATTAAAAGCAAATTGAATTTGCGTGAAAGAATTCACCTTATTTTGGAGAATTGGCGAATGAAACCGTCAAAGCAAAAGTTTCGAATGTTATATATAATGTGCCTGAAACGATGTTTGAATTGGTTGGTGTTCGAGTTTTCAGTGATATGCACGTTAATTGGTACTCGAACTTGGGTCATATGATGGTTGGTTATTATTGAATTTTTCCTGGTTTTCAAGTAAATACAGACAACTCTGACTGGTTTTTGGTGGTCTACAAAATTAAATTGATTCCATAAAAACTTAAAACAGAAAAAACAAACATTTAATTCCTACATGTATACACATTTTTTTGTGAGTTCTTATTGTATTGTATTTTGGTCAATTTATCATTACTAGGTTGGTTACTATGTGTCGATGACAATACACACCCTTTATTATTGGGGCAAAAAAAATGAATTTGTTTATGGCACTCGTTGCCTCTGTGGCATGGGAATCATGATCTCGGTAATTCATATGATTGTTTACGATCATTTGAAAAGACATCAATAATCGCTTCTTTTTTTTAAATCAAGAGCGTTCCTCTGTATTATAAAGCAATTGGAAAGGATCGTTTCAAATTCCATAGTCTGTTGAGTTTTGCTAGAGATTATATATACGAAGAAAAAAGAGGTACATCTAAATTTTCGATGGTATGCGAAGAAGGTGAATAGTTTTTAGTTGTGTTTGTCGCTTTCTATTCTGAGGATTAATAAGCGATTTGTTAAATTTATAAATTCATTGAAGGTGCTCGCAAAATGTGGAAATCCTATGCGATTTTGACATGCATTATTGTGACTTCGATGAGTCTCGTGTCCCTTGGCCCAATGCTTATCTTTTTTCGTGATGGAATTTGGATAACACCACTAGGAACTCAATTTCCATACGCCGATCAATCGGACGTAGCCTTTTATATGGATCTCGTCATTCAGATAGCCATTGCACTAATTGGAATTTTGACAACCGTTAGCATCGAAATGGCACAGGTCATTGTGAATAATGCAGTCGAAATGACAGGCGATGTCATAAAATTCAACATTGAAAGGTTGACCAAACAAATAACTCCCGTCGGTATGATGAACTTAGAGTCAGGGGGCACTTTTCGCAATATAATTCTCCAAATTCAGGATTTTGATCGGTATTGTTATAACTGTGTTAAAAGTGCACATAAAAATGATATATATTTTTTCAATTTTGCAGTTTCATAGCCGATTTTACTGATGTTTTCTACTGGAGGACTTTTTTTGGACCATTTGCGCTTGCGTTTTCCGCGGCCTTTTCGACGTTCACGCAAAAAGTAGTATGTATTTCGTTTTATTACGATTTTTTTTTTCTTCAAATTTTCCTGCTTAAAAATAACCCGTGTAATTTACTTCGTAGCTAAATTTTCCATCTGGGTATGGTTCAGCAGTAGCTTCGTATATACAATTGATCATTTTGTGCTATATGGGTCATAATGTAAGAAGTTCGGTGAGTTTTCAATTTCTTTCCTAGATTAAAAACGTTGATTGCCATTGATTTTTATACTTTCAAAAATTCAATACCAACAGAATGACCTCATTTATGATGCATTGAATAGAGTACCATGGTATTATATCCCTATGTCGAAACAGAAGGTCCTCGCTCAATTGTTACATAGAATGCAAAATGGACTTAAATTAACCATAGGACCTTTGGGAGAATTGAACTATGAAATGGCATCTCATGTGAGTTTAATTTATCATTTAGTTCAATAAGCAACGCAAAACGTGATGATTAATATCATTTCAGGTGACCAAATGCATTTATCAGTTTTTAATGTTGTTGGTCCAGTTTGCTGAATAAGATTCTCTCCTCACTATCTCACTATCACAATCGACATTTCTTTCTAAACAGAAATGATTTATTCGCAAAATCAGAAATATGGTTGACACTCTATGCAACAGAGTATGGGCAATAATATATATTGTGCAGCAATTTTAACGTTATTGAAAAGAAGCTGAATAGTAACAAAACTTTGGCGTATGAATACCAGATGGAGTTACCGTGTACAGAATTTTATTTACACAAACCAATTGAACTTATTTTCCAACACTAAAATATCACAATAAATTTTGTTGAAATGATTGATTGATTTTTGTTGTAAAATTTATATTAATTTGTTGGAAAAAGTGTGGCGAAATTAAAAATACTGGTTTCTGTCATATTACTTTTTGTCTCATGTAGATTATGTGAAAAATAGAACAGAATATAGAATCGAATATTTGACGTATGTGATTGAATGAGACGAGATGAATAAATATACTAATAATCTACAAAATCGAAAGGAAGAAATGAATACCTTGGCTAGACTTGGTCAATTGAATATTTCCCATGAATATTACAACATAAAAGTTACAATTCAAAACATAAAGAGAACAAGAATTAAAATTGAATGGAAAAATACGCCAGTTTTCAACACGTTTGAAATGGTTGGAGAAAACTTTTTACGTACGCATTCCAAACTTGGCACAATCTTTTAATTGGTGTCCCAGGACGCGAAGTCCAACAAAAAATTGCACACTGTAATACAACCGTATATATAGTTCTATACAGTATACATACACCTATCTACCTGAACAGATCTGCAGAAGTGGAAAGTGTAAAATTGAATTATATTGTTGCTGGTCTACTGAATCCTAATAATACATAGACAAGGACTTTGCAAGCAATTGGGAAGCGATGAAATTGGAGACAAAAAAGATGAGAATTTCTCTTATTGATTTTAAACGATGAAACGAAACGGAAACGTTGGAAGCGCATCATTAACGTCATCGATTGTTTTCTTTCTTTGTGTTGTTTTCTTTCTGCTGTCATATCTGTTTCTCTTACTCTTCCCATCTTTTTTGAATGTTTTTTCACTTTCTCTTTTCGTTGACCATCTGATACAATTTCCCTTTTTGCTTCAAACCCAGGTAGAAACGAAACAGAAGGAGTTGAATGATTCTGGCGATATTAAAAATCGAACTACACCACAGGCCATAAGTTTGGATACCCCTATGAAATATATCGTTTCTACGTTTTTTGAACATTTTCAGTTGAAATTTAGTATTGGATATGAAAATATATCGAAATTCTGACCGAATGGAAAATTTGGAAGATAGCATTTGGCCGGCCTATGGCCATTTTTTGGCCTTTTAACTGTGGGAGCCAAAATCGAAGTTTTAAACGGGCCATCAGATTTAAAAGTTATATACGCCATTGGAAAGGTCTTGAAAAGTAGATGTGATTTTTAGTAGAAAACATCAAAATCGGCCAGCGTTTGGCCAAGATATGGCCGTTTCTAATTTTTGGCCGAAATCTTCAATCAGCCATATCTTATCCAAAAGCTGGCCGATTTTGATGTTTATTACCAAAAATGATACGTACTCTCCGAGACCTTTCCAATGTTGTATATAACTTTTAAATCCGATGGCCCGTTTAAAACTTCGATTTTGGCTCCCACAGTTAAAAGGCCAGGAAATGGCCATAGGCCAGCCAAATGTTATCTTCCAAATCTTCCATTCGGTCAGAATTTCGATATATTTTCAAATCCAATACTAACTGAAAATTTTGAACTGAAAATGTTCAGAAAACGTAGAAACAATATATTTCATGGGGGTATCCAAACTTATGGCCTGTGGTGTATATGTATATTGCTAATATTCTTCCATTGAATAACCTATTTGCTAGGGGATAGACACAAGATCTGAGATACGTTCGTTTTTCAAAATACTTAATTGATTTTGTGTAGAGGTGTTCAGATTCTTGAAGATTCATTGAGATTTGAAGGGATTTGAAAAGATTTGTAAAAATCTTACTGATTTGTTTGACCTTTTTGACAAGTCAGCCATTTTGATTTGAGAAGATTCATAAGGATTCATAGAGATTCAAAAGTATTTGAATTTGCTCGGAATTTGAGATTCCTACAGATTTGAAAAGATCTAAAAAGATTCAAGTTTTAAATGTTGTGTCTACCCCCTAGCCTATTTGATATGTCGATTTCTTCTTTTAAACCATTCGGTATTCATTCAGTTTCTTCTGGCCTAATTCCACGGCTCGATAATCAATAACACTTCAACAGTGCAATCAAATTCACGTTATCTCGTCTTTTTCTATCAAACAACAGATTGAGCAAATTACAGGATTAATCACGGAGTTTTTCGACCATTTTTTTTTATCAAACCTATAAAATCTCGACTTTGTTTTGACATATTTACGATCCGGTCGTCAAATTTTTAATCAAGGTGGACCAAAATAACATAAAGCAGAAATCATTGAATCGATATAAGTTGCCAGTGCTATCGACCAGCCATATATGCAGTTGACTGTGGAAGATGACATTTTGACATGATACATGAGACTGCTGTGTGATCCTTTAAATTGGTCCCAATTCATTTTGAATTCCTTTCTTTTCTATTAGTCATAGAATAGCACCCATACATATTTGCACAAAAACGACGTGCGGTTGCCAGAGTGAAAGTTTTAATTCGATTGATGATATTTTTTTTTTCATATATCCGACATTTGTCATCGATCGATGTAACATTCGGTTGACAATTTGACATTTTAGAAAAATATTAACGTAATTGAAAAAAAAATAGGCCGCTTTCGCTTAATACTTTCATGTATCGTCTTTTCTTAGTTCCATGTGGACTTCACAACACATTGTGGAGTGTTATTATGACCGAGATGACGGTCAAAGTTTTGGTGTGTTTTTCCCATCAAACTTGGAGAAAATTACTGACGACTATGAATTCGGTCAAGCGAATAAAATCGGAGCGAGCATTGCCAGACATAGGGACAAACAAGTCGCATGAATTCAATCGATTCGGAAGAAAAAAGTTGGAGTGATGAATAAAATTAATAAGAGCGATGAAAGGTATAGCCGCTGTAACCATTTTCAATCGACTTAAGTCTCTCTTTTTTTCGTGCGTACGTCACTCTCTTTCGAAATGATTTCGGTTGGAACCGAAACAACTGATGGTCAACGCTGTGCTCTCGACATTCGACTGTCCATCGACAATCTTTATTGACAGGCGAATAGAAGGGAAAGAAAAAGATGAAATGAATACAAGCCGAAACTAAAACCATGAAACAAGTGAACGAAATAGAAACCTATTTGCCCGTGTCATTTGGCGTAATCCGTAATCGCTACCGTTTCATTGGTTAGTGCCCCGATGGAATTTTGGTCTCAAGACAATCATTTAGTTAATAAATAAATTTGTCAAGACACAGCATGATTGATTATATGATAATGTATTTTTTTGGGGCGTCCGTCGTCATTTTTTCGTCTTTCGTTTTGGCTCATGGATGGGCGAGCTCATATGCATATTACTATTTGGATGTTGTTTGTTTTTGTGCGGGAAAAATTGACCCGACTTTTGCTGACATATAAACGCAGCAGCATGTTTTAATCTATTACATTTTTTTCTGCTCAGAGTCGGTCGATGTTGCCTTGCCTTTCCCATCGTTCTAATCGACAAAATAGCCGTGGTGATTGTTTAGCTCCGTATCGTGAATATAGAAGAAAAAAAATGTCGCATATATTTTGCATATCATTACCAGCAGCTCAGCGCCGAAAGAAATGATAAAATGACTAGAGAGGAAAGAAAGAAAGATAGAGAAAAAACGCCTAGTTTTAAATTGAAATGTCTGGGCTGTTCGAAGCGGCAAATGATCGATCAGTCATTCAGAGTCTAAGTTTTCGTTCCTTGATTTCCAACACACATATTTGGAAATGGTGAGATGGGCAAGAATAAATTTTGGTGCGATAGACACTTGGCATAAATCATTTTTGTTTCGGCTCGATAGTCGATTGTTGCATTGTTTACGCAAGAAATTTG